CAGCCACTCCCTGGCCCCCATCTGTCCACACGGCTGGTTTCTCTTCCCAGCCTCCACCCTCTGATGCCTTGGGCTCCCCTGGGGCTACTCACCAGTGACAGAGGCCAGCCTAGGCCAGGAGCTGGGTAATGAGGTCCCCGGTACAGGTGCTTGGGCTGTCCAGGCTCAGGGATTCCTTAGGGCACTGCAGGGGAGTCAGGTTTGGGTTTAGGGCACCAGAAACGCAGGCTCTGCCTGTCATGTTTTGGGGTCAGGCGTGAGCACCTTGACCTCTCACTCAGTTTCTTCCACTCCCCCACTCCACCCTCTGGGATGCTTCTGGGCCTCTGTTCTTCCCTCTGGCTGAAATGTTTCTCCCCTCCTTTTCCAGTTGGTGAACTCCTCCTCATGTTGAAGACCCATCTACAGTTTTGCCGTCCTTCTTTGAAAGCTGGGAGTGGGGTGGGGTAGGGGGGACACCCGACTATTTTCCAGGCTCTTTTTTTATTGTTTGTTTTTTTTGGTTCTGGGGGTCACATCCGGGGCCTTCACACTGAGCTACATCCCTAGCTTTCTTTTTTGTGTTGTTTTGTTTTTTTGAGACAGGGTCTTACTTTGTAATTCAGGCTGGCCTTGATCTCACTGTGTAGCCCAGGCTGGCCTCCAACTCATGGCTAAACTCCAGCCTCAGGCTCCCAAGTGCTGGGATGACAGGCATCCACCACCACACCTGGCTTTATTCTTTATTTTGAGACAAGGTCTCACTAAATTGCCCAGGCTTGGGCTTGAACTTGAGATCCTCCTGCTTCAGCCTCCCAGAGCACCAGGATGACAGACAATGAGCCACCATATCTAGCTTCTTTCAACTCTATCCTTATCTGGTGCTTTCTTTGGCTTCACAATTTCCTTCCTCCCTCTCTCTCTTTTGTCTTTCCTTGAGGTAAACTCTCATTATATAGTCTAGGATGACTTCAAACTCACTCTGTACCCCATGCTGGCCTTGTGATCCTCCTGCCTTAGCCTCCTGAGTGAACTCAGAGGTGCAGGTGGACACAGCCATCCATTCTTTGTGCCCCAAGGCTTGAGATGCCGTTTCTGGGGACCCCATGGGAGTACTTCCTGTCCCATCGGCTGTCCCACACTCCGTGCAGCTGTGTGGCCAGGATGGAGCACTGGAAGCTCCTGAAGTTGAGCTAGAAATCACTGCACATCCAAGTCACTTCTGCACACATCTTATCTGTGAGCGCAGCTCCCAGAGGCCTGGCAGGTCACAGCCTTGACCCCTAGGTGCGGCTGGGAGAACTTGGAGCCCTTTCAAATCAAAACAAAAGAGCTGTATTGGCCAGGCCTGGTGGTGCATGCCTGTCATTCCAGTATTTGGGAGGCTGAGGCAGGAGGATCCAGGCAGGAGGCTCAAATTCGAGGCCATCCTGGACTACACAATCAGACCCTGTCTCAAAAAACTGAAACCAAAAAAACAGCATAGGCCAGCTGCAGAGCTCCAGCCTGGGTCTCACAAGTTCTGTCTCCCGGGCTCAGTCTTTGACGGACTTCCTGCCTTGAGCCCTGCAGCCCCAGCTTCCACCATCTGCTAAGGGGAGCCACCGTCCCCACCCTTGCTGGCCTCCTCCTACCCTCCCCGCTCACTCCCTCCCTCCCTCCTGGGGCTGCTGTTCAGTAGGAGTGGATAATGGATGTGCAGCCTGGGGCTTCTGGGTAACGCTGATGAATATTAATGATCCGACACAGTGCCTGCTGCGCTCCTGCCCGCCTGGCCAGCTGCTTCTGTCCATGGGGGCTGATGTGGGAGAGGGTGGCCCCTCCCCTGCCAGTCCCCACTGGTTAGGAGCTTCCCTGACCTCCGCAGGGCTCCAGGAGCTGGATTTAGAGGAGCATGCCTGTCATCCAAATTGCTTGGGAGGCTGAGACAGGAGGATCTCAAGTTCAAGCCCAGCCTGGGCAACTCAGAAACTTAGTGAGACCCTGTCTCAAAATTAAAGGGCTAGAGTGTGCTTGCCTAGCAGGTGCAAGGCCCTGGGTTCCATCCCCAGCACCAAAGCAAAACAAAACAAATCTGCAAGGGCCCAGGAGCCTTCTCTTTCCTGTTGCCCTAGATTTTCTCCCTGGGCCACTGCCCCAACCAGGACTGGCTGGCCGTGGGCATGGAGAGCAGCAATGTGGAGATCCTGCACGTCCGAAAGCCTGAGAAGTACCAGCTGCACCTCCACGAGAGCTGCGTCCTCTCCCTCAAGTTCGCCTCTTGTGGTATGTCTGCCTGTGACCCCCAGAGGCGCTCTCAGATTTGCCAGGCTGGGCTCAAAACTTTTTTTTGGGGGGGGGGTACCGGGAATCGAACTTGGGTCCTTGCGCTTGCACAGCAGGCGACAAAACCACTGAGCTAAATCCCCGGCCCTGGGCTCAAAACTTGAAGTCCTCCTGCTTCAGCCTCCCAGAGTGTTGGGATGACAGGAGAGTGCCACATCCATGCCTGCTCACTTTTATTTTGGAGTAGGGATCAAACCCAGGGTCTCACTCAAAAGAATAGATAATGGCTGTGTGCTGCACACCTGGCATCCCCGCTACTTGGGAGGCTGAGGCAGGGTTCCAATCTTGAATCCAGCTTGGGAAACTTCGTAAGACTGTCTCAAAGTAGAAAATTTAGGGCCGGGGATTTAGCACGGTGGTTTCACCGCCTGCTGAGCAAGCACAGGGACCCGAGTTCGAGTCCCATACCAAAAAAAATTGTTTTAAAGGGCTGGGGATGGAGCTCAGTTGAAAGCCCTGGGTTCAATTCCCCGAGCTACAAAAAATAAACAAAAGAGTAAGGGTGGACGTTCCTGGGTCTCTAGCCCCTGGTCCTCAGCTCGCTGCTTTCCCCAGGGCGATGGTTTGTGAGCACCGGCAAGGACAATCTGCTCAATGCATGGAGGACGCCATATGGAGCCAGCATCTTCCAGGTACCCCAGGGACTGCTCCCCACCCCTGCTACCTGACCCTTACCTAGGTCTGCACACCTCCCTGATATGCAACTACTAAAGCAAGGGATGACAGATGCCCTTCTGTGCCTGGCGTCTCTCACTGAACACAGCGTCCTCAATGTCTGTCCACACTGTGCTGAGTGTCACACCCTCGCTCCTTTTCCTGGCTGTGCAATATTCCACTGTGGGGGCAGACCTCCCTGTGTGAGACCTCCATCCATCTGTGGACACTGGGCCTTTTCCTCCTTGGCTTCCAGGAAGTGTGCTATGGTGAACATCTGTGTACCAGTTTCCCAGCTGTTTCTCTGTCGGGCAGGTGCCCTGGAGGGGAATTTCCCATGAGCCCGTTGAGGAACTGCTGGGCAGTTTCCAGATTTTACATTCCCACCAGCAGGGGAGGGTTCTGGAGTCCCCACATCCTCACTGACAATTGTATTGTCTATTTAAAAAATCATACTGAGTCTGGGGAAGCGAGCATGGAGTAGTGTAAGCCTGGTGTGGTGGTGCATGCCTGCAATCCTACCACTGCTCAGTACCACACAAAAAGCAAAAGTTGTAAGAAACACACACAGAATATTTGACAGAGACTTGTGGACTATAGGGGAAGCCAAAAAATATTCACTGTTGGGCGTATTCTTGTGGTACTACACACTGGATCCAGGACCTTATTTTTCGGTAGTGTGGATCGAACTCGGGTCCTTGGGCTTGCGCAGCAGGCGGCGAAACCACTGAGGTAAATCCCTGGCCCCCCAAGGCCTTATTTTGAGACAGGGTCTTACTAAATCATTAAATTGCCCAGGCGGGACTCAAACTTTCGGTCCTCCTGCCTCAGCCTCCCAGAGTACTGGGATGACAGGTGCGTACCACCGTGCCTACCCAGAAATAACCATTTTTTGAAAGTGCCTTTGATACAGGTAGCCAACACTTTCATCAGGCCACAGTTGGGGAAAGTCTTGGCTATCTGATGTAATTTATCCAACACTACCCAAAATGAAAAGCAGTTGTGCAGGTACCCTTACACACCGTGGTAAAGTCAAGCCGCTGTGAGTCAAGCCACTGTTAGTCGAGACCATCTATACCTCTCTCTAGAAAACATGTTGCCTTCCTTCTCCCACTGGAGGCATCAGCTACGCTCCCACCTAGGGGCACATGCTGGTCCCCCCCTTCCTCCCCAGCCTTCTGTACATCCTTGGGTGATCAGGAGCCTTGCACCAGGCTGAGCTAACACGGGCCACCCTCACCTGACCTCTCCTTTCTGTCTCCCCTCCCTCGACAGTCCAAGGAGACTTCCTCGGTTCTGAGCTGCGACATCTCCAGGAACAACAAATACATCGTAACAGGCTCAGGGGACAAGAAGGCCACTGTGTATGAAGTGGTGTACTGAGGCCCCAGCCTGGCTTTGGGGGGTGACAGAGCCCACAGCCCCTCCAGCCACGCCCATGGGTGTCAGGGCCCTGTGCTCACCGGCTGCCACCTCCCCTCCTCCCTTCCCTGCTGGGGTGGGGTCGATGGGCCCAGGGTTCTGGAAAATAAATGTATTTATCACAGTGGGGCTGGGACAGACTCCAGCTGCTTCTCTTGGGCACTGTCACAGAAGGGCAGCCACTTCCTGTGTGACCACTGGGGATGAGAATCTATCCAGGTGACACACAGAGCCATCTGTCCAGCAACGAGCATTGGGAATGGGAGCATCACTGGGCAGGATGAGTCAGGTGGAGCCGTGTAACATGTATCCCTGATTCTGTCATTTAACTGGGGTGACACGGATTCCTCCCCTTGTGCCCAAGTGGCACTCCAGGTGCCACCTGCATCTGGAAGTGACCTCCCAACACCTCAGTCTCACATGGCACTGCTTTTAATATTTCCATGAGTGCATATCTGATTTACAAAATATTGGGTTTGTTTGTGGTCGTATTTATTTTTGTGGTACTAGGGATTGAACCCAGGGCCTTCATGCTGAGCTGCATCCCCAGGCGATTTTTCACTTTTTGAGATGGTCTCACTATGTAGCCCAGCCTAGCCTTGAACTCATGGCCATCTTCCTGCCTCACCCTCCTGAGTGCTGGGATTACAGGTGTGCATCACCACGCCCAGCTACCACTAGTTTTAATATCAGCACAGTGCACAGCAGAGCCCCTCTGCTGGCCTCATGTTAGTACTCTGTTGTGACCACCGCAGATGTCCCTTCTAGGCTCCTGGTCCCCCAAGACAGGAAGGACCTCCCAGCCCAGCCCAGCCCTGCTGGAAGTGATGGTCAGCACCTCCCTCAGCCCCTTCCCGGACAGTGTGTGGCAGAAAGGAGCTCACCAGGGATGGGACACCAGTGCTCTTTCCCTCTTGCTTTATCACCTTCATCCCTCATCCCCAGACCCCTGGCCTCCCCTCCCGAGGCCCAGCCCTTGCAGGAAGGAGAGAAGCCAGTCACAGCGGAAGGCCTTAGTAGGAGACCTGGTACACAGAGGCCCAGTCCCTGGAGCCCGTGACCATCAGCTTGTTGCTGGCCGACACATCGCAGCAGGTGAGGCAGGATTTCTCGGGCACCTGGTGGCAAGGGGCAGAGTCAGGTGGCTCACGGGCGGCACCATGTGACCCTCCGGGGACATCTCAGGGGCCCTGCGCCCACCCTTTGCCTCAGCGCACCTGGAACTCTGTGTTCCCCATGGGCATGCTGTGGATGGTGGCCAGCCTGTCCGTGCCGACACTTACCCACCACTGGCCTGGGGGACAGACAGACAGACAGGGCTGCATCATGGGGCAGAGACAGCCAGAGAGGCCAAAGCAGAAAGCCCACCCGACCTCCAGTCACCTGCTGTGACCCAGGACCCTGGGGTGTCGGAGAGGGCGGGCCCTTGGAGACTGACTTCCAGGAGCGCTTACCGTATGGGGAGAACTTGAGCCCCAGGATGGCGCCATTCTTGTGCCCTGCTGTATGCGCCTGGTCCCCGAGGGTGGGCTGCAGCCAGTGCTGCCCGCTGGCCAGGCCCACAAGCAGCCAGTCCTCCCAGGGGCTGTGCGACAGGCTCGTGATCTGGGGAGCAGTGCTATTGGAACCCCAGCCAGCCCCGGCCCCACCCGCTCCTGACACCAGGGCGCCTGGAAAGGTCCAGGCCTGGACTCTGAGCACAGGTTGCTAGGCAGCAGCAGGCAGTAGCAGTCACCACACCTGAGACTTGAAGAGGTGCTTCTGGGACTTGCGAGACGCCCTGAGGTCCCAGCATCGCAGACAGCCGTTTAGGCCCCCGGTCCAGACGTTGTCATCTTTGATCACCACAGTGTTGGCCTCACCTGGCCCACAAGGGAGGTCCCTGCCCAGGGGAGAAGCCAGTGTGTGACTGAGGCTGTCTTCCTGGAAATCTCACCGCCCGCTCCAACTGCTCCTGAGCTTCATCCCCAGCCCTTTTTTAAAATTTTGAGGCAGGGTCTGGCTATGGAGTGCTGGATGGCCTTGAACTCACAGGGATCCTCCTGCCTCAGCCTCCCGAGTGCTGGGATGACAGGTGTGCGCCACCACACCTGGCCCAAGATTTATTTGAATAGTTGAGCTGTATGGGCTGCTATCCTAGCTACTCAGGAGGCTAAGGCAGGAGGGAGGCAAGTTTAAGCCCAGTCCGGGCAACTTAGTGACTTAGGCCCTGTCTCAAAGAGATTTAAAAAGGCTGGGGATGGAGCTCAGTGCTGCAGTGCTCATGTAGCCATGCAAGGCCCTGGGTTCCATCTAAATGAAAAGAATCATCTGGTTTGGGGGCCATCACACCCTGTCAAGGTGGGGATACTGAGGCAGACAAGTGGAAATGACTTGGTTCCAAGAAATGAGCCCAGCCTAGATCTAAATCTGTCTTTGAGGTTCCCAAATGCAAGTTCAAGGCAGTGAGACCCCCTTCTGGGGTTTGAGGGCACCCAGTCCCTGCCCGGCCCCTTCCTGCCACCCCTCAGGCCGCACCTGATCACGCTCTGGTCCCGAAGGTCCCAGACCCTGACGATGCCGTTGCTGAAGCCCGCAAAGGCCAGGCTGCCTCTGATGTTGGCGTCCAGGGCCTGGCAGGAGAGCCCCGCGCAAGGCAGCTGCTCCGGGTTGCGCAGGTCCGGCGCCAGCAGGTCCCAGACGCTGATGCCCGGCAGGTTGTGGCCTCCCGCGAGGAGCACCTTGCCGTTGGGGCCCAGCAGGCAGGTGCGCAGGTACGCGCCGGGGGTCTGCGGAGGGGTGAGGGGACACACGGCCGTGAGCAGCGCCCTCCTGCAGGAGGTGGCCCGCGCCCAGGGACCCAGCCGGCCGCCCTCACCTGGACAGGCCAGTGCAGGTGGCTCTCGGGGAAGGTGTCCAGGGCCTCATGGGCGGCCAGGCTCCACACCTTGAGGCCGCCCAAGCCGCAAGTGAACACGTGGCGCGTGAGGCTGTTGACGGCCGTGGCGAGGACGTGGGCCCCGTGCCGCAGCACTTGGAGCCTCTGGACCTTGCACGGCACACCCAAGCTCTCGGACTGGCCTGGCAAGGCGCCCGGCCGCACCCATGTGTCCCCGAGGACCTTGAGGTCCTGGGATCTGCGGAGGGGGAGGAAGGACTTGGGGGCCCTGCCTGCCTGGGGGGCTCCTGTGCCCAACAAGAGCCTCCTACCAAGCTCTAAAGCAGGTTTGCTCTTTTCTGGGTATTAGGAAACCTTTTTCTCAGGCCATGTCTTCCCTCTAGACTCCCTGCACAACCCTAACCACACTCCTCCAAATATTCTCTCTCTGCCATAACCATATACTTCTCCCTTTTGCCTAATAGAGCAAACTCCTATTCATCCTTTACGGCCCTAAATATTATGCCCCTTCCTCCAACCACACTTGTCTGTGTGGCACTCTAACACAGCTGCCCCCACACTCCTGTTTTTCCTGTGAATTCCTCCCCCAATCCCTTGAACCCAGAACTAGTTATAATAGGAACTGGTAGTGAGGTTAGTGTGAATGTGTCACTCTGCTTAGAGAGGACGGTCCAGTGATGACAGGAAAGGGACACAAATGTACACCCTGGACAGAGGGACCTGTCGACTGGCAGCCTCCCCTGCCACCTTCTCTCCCCACCAGGGCAAACAGTGCAGACACTCACGTGGGCCTCAGGGCTGGGCGGGCTCCTCTGACAGAGGCCTGCAGGGACGAGAGGGTGGCTGTCCCGGATCGTCCCTCCCCGCACCCCACACAGGCAGGTGGGACCTGGCCGGGGTCTCACCTGGGCCACTCTGGTGGCCTTGGTGAAGTCTTCCTCAAGGTCCTCCCAGGAGCTGGAGGAGAGCTCAGCCGAGTCAGTCACTGGACAGAGACAGTGGCAACTGAGCAGGGGACCCGGCCAAGGGCTAGCTGTCCCCTCCCTCCCGGTCCCAGTAGGCTCTTACGGGAGTCCTCATCTTCTGACTTTGCCTCCAAGTTCAGCAGTGCCGGGCCTGTGCCTCTTTGCCCTCGGGAGGGAATCCCATCAGACCCATGGCCGTGCTGGGTCCCGGCACGGGAGCCCCCAGGGGTGCTGGGCTGCTGGCACCGGACCTTCCCGCTGCTCCGCCTTCGGTCTTTCCACTGTGGCAGGAAGAACCACCATCGCCATCCTGAGCGACTGTCTTCCTGGGTCCCCTGGGGGGACCCCGCACCCACGAGCCCCCAGGATAAGGATGTGTACTCACCAGGCCTGGCTCCCACTCTGTTGCCATGGCAATGGGATGGGGCGGGAGGAAGATGGACAGAGCCACACAGCAGGGTTAGCGCGTCCCGGACACAACCCCAGGCCACCCCTCGCCCCACCCCTGAAGGGACACTCACTTCTGTCACTCTGTGCTGCCAGCTTACTCTGGTAAGCAAAAGTCTCCCAGAGGTCCTTGGTGAGGATGTTTGGCCGCAGTTGGGGCTCAGACCCACAGGACAGGAGCAGGGATGGGTGGGGCTCCAGCAGGCCGCCCTTTGCCCCGGGGGGCTTGCAGTTCCACTCCTGGGGCTTCCCAACCTCTGGACTCTCTGGGGGCACTGGTTCCCTCTTTTCCTGCTTGAACTGTTTCCCAGAGCAGACCGGGCCTCCCTGCCTATGGGAGGTTGGGGGCTTGAAGGGGCTCACTACCTAGAGAGGTCAGCGGAGAGATGGGAGACCCCGTCAGGGTTAAGGCTTAGTGACCCCAAGCACACTGGCTTCAGGAGGCTGAGGCAGGGGGGTTGTAAGTTCCATCTCCCTGCCTGGGCAACTTAGTGACTTTGTAAGAACCCAAAAGGGAAAAGAGAAAAAACAGTGGGCTGAGGATGTAGCTCAGTGCGAAGGCCCTGGGTTCCTTCCCTGGTATTGATTGAGAAAATTTTTTCCCTATCAAACAGAAAACCATCTAGACTGGCATGTGTGTAGAGCTGGTGTCAGACACAGAGTTGGATGTTCTAGTGGCCACACTGAAGGCATAAAGAGATGGGGATTTTGTTAATACAATATACCTAAGGAACCAACTCCATGTTCAACTTTTTTTGGTGTTTTGAGACAGGGTCTCCCTATGTAGGCCAGGCTGGCTTTGAACCCACAGCAGTCCTCCTGCCTCAGCCTCCTGAGTGCTGGAATCACAGACGTGTGCCACCACACTGGGCAGGCTATGAAGATTTAACAGCAAAGGGGCCCAGGACTGCCATGATACGGCTGGCCTCTGTGTCCACCAAAGCTCCAAATCCAAACGTACAACAAACTATGGGTTTAAAATATTTGGAAAAATCAATTGCATTTGTACTAGATAAGCAGACTTTTCTTATCATTTTCCCTAAAGAATACAATATAGCAATAGTAGATATGGTATCAGATGCCTGTTATCCCAGCATTATTCAGGAGGCTGAGGCTGGGAGATTCCTGTGAATTCGAGGCCAGCCTGGAGAACATAGTGAGACCTGGCTCAAAAAAGTATAGAAGTGGGCTGGGGATGTAGCTCAGTGGTTCCACCGCCTGCCTCACAAGTGCAAGGACCCAAGCTCAATCCCTGGTACCAAAAAAAAGAGGGAATATTTGCATCGTACCAGGGATGCTAAACCACTCAGGCACCACACTGTTATATAAGGGACTGGGGCATCAGGGATTCTGGTATCAGCAGAGGTTCCTGGGACGTGTCCCCTCTGATACCAGTGGAGGACTGCATTGATTCTGGGGTGGCTTGGACTTGCCTGTCCCCAGCAGCGGCTGCTAGGTGAAGTGGCCACTGAAAGCTTAGTCTGGCTGCTGCTACTAGGGATGTAGCTTTGGACTGACTTACGGTGCTGGAGAATCAAACCCAGGACCTTCATACTGAGCTACGTTCCTGGCCTTTGGATAATTTTGAGACAGGGTCCTGCCGAGTTGTTCAGTTGCCCAGGCTGGCCTGGAACTTGCCAGCCCCCTCCTCAGCCTCTCTGAGTGCTGGGATGACAGGAGTGCACGACCACACCTAGCTTGGGAACATAGTTTTTAAGTTCCACTTAAATAGTGACACATAAACCAGGCAGGCTGGCACACATCTGTCATCCCAGCTGCTTGGGAGGCTGAGGCAGGAGAATTTTGTTTGTTCATGTGTTTGTTTTTTGAGTCAGGGTCTTGCTGTGTAATTCAGGCTGGCCTTGAATTGAGGGCAATCCTCCTGCCTCTGCCTCCCAAGCTGGGATTATAGGTGTGCACTGCCACACCCAGTCCAGGAGAATTTTGAATTTGAGCACAGCCTGGGAAATTTTGCAAGCCCCTGTCTCAAAAAAAAAAAAAAAACAACAAAAAACCCCCAAAACCAATGCCAAGCCATGAGAAGGCTGAGTCATGAAGATCACTTATAAAGAGGCAGGTGTGGGGCTGGGATTCAGCTCAGTGGTTTTGACGCCTGCTGCGCAAGCGCAAGGACCCGAGTTCAATCCCCAGCACCAAAAAAAAAAAAAAGAGGCAGGTTTGTAATCCCAGGTGTGTACATGCCTGTAATCCTTGGATTCAAGGGAGGCTGAGGCAGGAGGATCAAGCATTGGAGCCAGAGTTGGGGCAATTTAACAACTTAGTGAGATACTGTCTCAGAATTTAAAACCATGCAGGGTGTGGTGTAATCACACATCTGTGATCCCAGCACTGAGGAGGCTAAGGCAAGAGGATCACCAGGAGTTGGAGGCCAGCCTGGGCCCCATTCTGTGAGACCCGATCTCAAAATAAATAAATAAAAATAAAAACATTAAAAATATAAAGGGCCAGCTCAGTGAAGGCCCTGTAGTCAATCTTCAGTAGTGAAACAACAAGAATAAAACTGATGGAGGACTGGTCTGGGGCACTTGGAAAATGTTAACCCTACTTGAGGGGATTTGCGGTTCCATTTTAGGAATGGGAACTCGAGGTTCAGGCAATCAAAGCCGGGAGAAATGCAGGGTTTCCCTGGCCGGTTCTCCACCCCCGCCCCCGGCTTTGGGGTGCGGATTAGGACGGGGAGGGCACCCGAGCCGGGGCCCCAATCCGCTCGGCTCTTAGCTCGCAATTCACCGGGGCTTCCCAGCCAGCCCGCCCCAGGGCCTTGGGAAGCACAGCCCGGAGAGACGGTGCTGAGAGGGGCCCTGGCAAAGGGGACCCGGGCGCCCTGCGGGGCAGGGCAGGACACAAGTGATTCCTCCGGAGCCCCCTCTGCCACAGCCCGGTTCTCCGCGACTGCTGGGGGCCCCGCCCGCAAACCCACCCGCCAGCCCACAAATGGGGGGGCAGCACAATGAGGACTGACTCCAAGGCTTTCGCACTCAGCTACACCTGCAAGCCATTGAAAAATTTTGAGAGGGGGTCTCACTGCCTCTCTTAACTGCCCAGCCTGGGCTCAAGCGTGTGATCCTCCTGCCTCAGGCCCCAGAGTGCTGGGATGACAGGTGTGTGACGCCACGCCTGGCTCCATCACTGGTCTCAACTATGCTCTTGTCTCATCCTTCACCTCACTTCTCTGCCATCTCCACAGCAGGCACAGTGAACCTGTGAGGTCGCCCCTCTGCCCTCAGCCCTCCATGGCTCCCACCTCCCTGGGGCCAAAGCCCAGGTCCTCCCTGCAGTCCACAGGGCCCTGCTCAGCCACCTGTCCCCTTCCCACCTCCCTTTAGGCCCCTGGATCCCTCTGCTCCAGCCACACTCGGTTCCCCGGATGCTCAAGCACCACCTGGCTCCGTGCTGACCCCAGGGCCTTTGCATAGCTGTGCCCTCCTCCTGTGACTTCTCCCCTATCCCAGACTTCCACAGCCCGGCTCTGATCTTTCCTCAAATATCACCTTCCCTGCTTTTAACCTGACCATCCTGAATTCCAACCCCTCCCACCTCCATCCCGGCCCCTGTTCCTCACGTGATCCCCATGGCCTAACAGCAAGCTGCAGGCCGGGCGCCCTCCCCCAGGCAGCAGGCCCCGCGGTGCCCTTCTCTGCCATTTCCCTGGCATCTATGCTGCGCTGGGCGAGCAGGTGTTGGCTGAGTGTCTGTTGGATGAATGGCTATGTTCTGGCTGCTTCCTGCCCTGAGCTGCCCACCCCGGCGCTGCTAAGTTGCAGACGCGGCCCTGGCCCCCTGCCAGGCACAGCTGGTACAGGCAGAGGCCTGCCAGCGCCCAGGAGAAAGGGCCAGGTGGCAGGAGGGCAGCGGGGACAAGACACAGGCGCTTTGGTCTGGACGGGCTGCCGATGCGGAGACCCCCCCCACCCCGCCCCACATGACTGGGACCTCGGCTCCACACCAATCCCTGCCTGAATCCCAAGAGGCCAGAGGACAGGACGCGGCGCTGAGATGCGGGGGTCTGTCATCCAGCACTCTGGGAGGCTGAGGCAGGAGGGTCGCAAGTTCCCGTCCAGCCTGGGCAACTCAGCCGGACCCTCTCTCAAAATTTTAAAAAAAGGCTGTGGATGTAGCTCAGTGCAAAGGCCCTGGGTTCCATCCCCAGCACGAGGTCCCGGGGTTTCCAAGTCTCCATCCTGGGCCTCCTCTGCCTACCGCCCTCCACGGCTCCCGCTGCCTTGCGCTCAAGTCCCAGACCCTCCTCCCCCGTCCCCATCTGCATCACTGAGTCCCGGTCACCTGCTCACCTTGTCTTGTTCTGGAAGATCCATCGGCAGATCAGAGAACCGAACCTCACTATGGGGACTGGGCTGGGAGGCAGCCTCTGGGAGCGGGAGTGAAAGGGAGAGCTGGTCTCCCATCCTGCGGCCCCTGAGCTGTGAGACTCCGGGCTGGGTCGACCTCTCCGACCCAGGAAAAGGGCAACACCACCTACCACACCCACACCCGAGGGAGGCCTCAGGGGGTTCAGCAGATTTCCTCTCCTTGTGGGCTAAAGGTCCCGCCCTTCACTCCTAATCTCTGCCAACCCAGCCCTTGCCTCAGGGCCTTCACACTGGCTTTGCTGGTCTCTGCAGGGTGGTCAGGGCTCCTAAGTATGCGCATACTGTCCCTGTCCGGAACACCACTTCCACCTAAGCCTGCCCTGAGCTAAAAAATAAAAATCCTCTTCTTTGCCTTTCTCCCCATCTCTCTCTTTCTCCCCCGTATCTTTCTTTCTTTCTCTTTGTTTCTCTTTCTAGACCTTGACTGGTCTTTCTAGACTATGTAGCCCAGCCTGGCCTTGAATTTGCTGCCATCCTCCTGCCTCAGCCTCCAGATTGCTGGTATTACAGGTGTGAGCCACCACGCCCTGCCTGGTATTTGGTTTCCTTTTTGTTTTTTGTTTTTTTGCTACGGGGAATCGAACTCTGGTCCTTGCGTAGCAGGGGGCAAAACCGCTGAGCTAAATCCTCAATCCCCGGCCCTCCGGCCCATTTTTTTTTTTTTTTACTGAGACAGAGTCTCACTTTGTAGTTCAGGGTGGCCTTGAGCTCACAATGTAGCCCAGGCTGGCCTTTAACTTGAGGCAGTCCTCCTGCCTCAGCCTCCTGAGTACTGGGATTGGTTTACAATTTGTGTGAATCCTGTTTATTGCTTCTCTCTTTTTTTAGACTGCCTTTATTCTTTGAGCAGCCACTAATCTAGCTTGGCCACTGACATTAAGTTTTTAAAAATTCAGCTTCTTTCTTTTTTTTGGTGGTGGTGGGAGCCTTAGCACTGAGCTACATATTTCATGTTTTCAGACAAGGTCTAAATTACTAAGTTGCCCAGTTAGGCTTATCCTGGCCACCCTCCTGCCTCAGCCTCCCAGAGTGCTAGAGTCACAGGTGTTTGCCACCACAACCAGCTAGCAAGGTATTAGTTTTAAAAAGTGCCCAAAAAGAAGTCAAAGGCTGGGGATGGGGATTTACCTCAGAGGTTCCGGTGCCTGCCTCGAAAGCACAAGGTCCCGAGTTCGATCCCCGGTACCAAAAAAAAAGTCAAAGGGTGAACTTACTTGCCTAAAGGGAGTGAAAATATAAGGAGGGAGGGTCCCCTAACAGGGCCTGAGCTAAAGGCCAGCTTTCTGGGGTGTGGGGGGCTAGGGACTCCCTACAGCCTGGCGTTGTCCTCTGGATGAGATGTCACCCAACTGCTGGATCGGTTCTAAGAGTCAGGGAAAGTAGCTGGTGTCACCTGGGAGCCAGAAATGTGGGTCAGAAGCACTGCTAGAGACCTGGGGTTTAGTTCAGTGGCACCATGCCTCCCAGGCCAGCCCAAGGTTCTGAGTTCGATCTCCGGTACCAAAAAAAGAAAAAAGCGCTGCTAGGATTTGTCTTTTTCTTCTTTTCCAAGTACTGAGGATTGAACCCAGGGCCTTGGCACTGAGCTCCACCCCCAGCCCTTTTTATTGTTTATTTTGAGACAAAAGCTTCTAAATCCCTAAATTGCTCAGGATAAATTCAGAATTGTGATCCTCCTGCCACGGCCTCCCAGAGTGCAGGGATGACAGGCGTGCATCGCATCCCCAGCCCTCTGATAAGCTATTTAGTGCAATATTTTAAAAAATCAAATGGAATGCAACAACTCATGCGGAACGAGAGAAATGGACATTGTGAGTCAAAGCCAGGCAGGTGTGATGGCTAGTGCATGGGCTTACCTCTCCTGGGGAACGGTCCGAGTCCCGAGTCCCGTAATGCTGGGCCTCAGAGCTCAGCAACTCAGAAATCACAGACATCACAGGGCCTTGCTAGAATAGTTAAAGGAAGCACTCAGAAGGCTGAGGCAGGAGGATCGCTGTGATTTGGAGGCCAGCCTGGGCTATATAGTGAGACCCTGTCTCAAAAGACAGATAAATAAACAACAACAATAAACCCCATAGGGGCCCCCAGACACTCCAGTACACACTCCTGCCTCCACCCGGGTGTCCCTAGGCTATACTCTGCAGTGCTCCACCCTACAGGCGGCAGGGTGGGAGCTCCTAGCATAGGAAGTTAATTCCTGTTCTCTCTTGGTATTTGTTTGTTTTTGTTTTTTGAGACAGGGTCTAGCTATGTAGCCCAGGCTGGCCTTGCACTCACAGGGATCCTCCTGCCTCAGCCTCCTGAGCTCTGGGATTATAAGTGTGCGCACCACAGCTGGGTAAACTTTGTCATAGATATGTGAGTATAGGAAAAGCATTTATGTATATCTTGGGCTGCAGGGAATTACTGAACAAATAATACGTTCATTTCACTTCTGGGCCTCCAAGTCTAGGCTCCCCTGGAAGTCCAGCCTGAGTGTGGGCGTGGGTGCCTGCAGAACCCTAAGGCAGCGAGGAGGTGTTCCCACCTGCCTTATCACCTGAGCAATAAAATGCTTCTTTCGCAAGGGCCAGGCCTCCGGGCTGGCTGGCCAAGTCCAACCTCAGTCAGGCCAGAACCCCAGAACTGCGCCAGGCCCCTCTTGAAGCTGCCCTCCTCACCCAAGTTCCTTTGAGGGGTCCAGGGGCTGGAGTGGCCCTGAGGTCACCTTCAGGACCTCAGCCAATTCCTGGGGACAGAAGGCTGAGTTTGCAGGGGACAGAAGTGATTGGCCCCAGGCTTCCCCCATTCCCAGGCCTCGGGGTCTCTGGCTGCCCAGATCCAGGAAGGGCTGAGCCCCCAGAGGTAGGAACAAAGCTGAACTTTACCCCATCTCCCAGGCCTCGGCACTGGGATTGAACCCAGGACCTTTTCACACTGAGCTACACCAGCCCTTTTTTATTTTATGGGGTTGTTTCCCCCTGGTACTGGGGATCAAACGCAGGACCATCTCGGGCCTTGTTTGTTTTTTGTTGGTTTGGTTGGTTTTTTTGAGAAGGGTCATCTCACTATGTAGCCCAGGCTGGCCTCGAACTCATGGCAATCATCCTGCCTCAGCCTTCTGAGTACTGAGATTACAGGTGGCACCATCAGGCCCAGAAAACTTTAGTTTTGAGGCAGTTTCCTAAAGCACAGGAATTCTTGGCAATGGGTGTTGAGGGATGGATAGGAGTTAGCCAGGGGAAGTAGCTAGAATTTATGACAGGAAAAGAGCTGTCTTCCCCTGATCACTTCGCAGCAGCAAGCTCTTCCTTGCTTCAGTTTCAACCCTGGGGACACCTCCAGCTCCCTCCCAGCCCAGGAACCTGCAGTGCCCTCCAGGAAACAGCCTGCCCACCCAGCCCAGACGGGCAAGAGGGGCCCGGACAGCGCAGGTCACAGAGATCAACCCAGCTCAGGCCCGGAGGAAGCTTCGGCCCCGCCCTCGGGCCACTGCCCCGCCCGGGCCCCGCCCCGCGCCACCTGGCCCCTGAGGCCCATCACTGGAGGAGCCGGCTCTGCACGTGGGCTTGGGCTGTGCCACCGGCCCCTGAAGGCTCCGGCCAATCCGGAGGCCGCTTCCCCCCACGTGGGCCGCGCCCACCGTTGCTGATTGGTCGGGTCACCAGGGCTGTCTGCCCGGCTGTCAATCAGCAAACCCCGAGCCTCCGTTTAACCCCTGCGGTTCCGCGGCGCGGAGAGCCGTGGCTGGCTGAGTGGCTGGCGGTTTGGGGTCCAGGCTGGGGCACGGATACTTCGGAGGGCGTGAGGCTTGGAGAGGGGCCGGGCGGCTAGTAAATGCATTGTTTGGGGACAGGCCTGGTAATTGTTAGCTTTGTCCAAGACTGGCTTGTGGCCGAGGTGGCCTGTGGGGTGGGATGGATGGCAGTGTGTCTGTGGAGGAGGGGATACTGAGGGTTGACCCAGGGCCTTCGCACTGAGCTTTATCCCCAGCACTTTTATTTATTTTTAAAATTTTGGAACAGCGTTTCACTACTTTGTTAAATTACCCAAGCCGGAGTCGAACTTTGTAATCCTCCTGCCTCAGCCTCCAGAGTATGAGCATTAGTATTTTAACCCCAGTCCTTAGAGCAGAATCAGTTACGTTTTCCTCATTTGTTTATTGAAGATAGGGTCTCACTGTAGTTCAGCCTGGCTTTGAACCATGATCCCCCACCTCAGCCTCCACAGGCCTGCGATGACAGGCATGGAGGCCTGGTGTGCCAGGTGCATGCAGCTTCAAGTCCCCTTTCTGGAGGCAGCCTGATTGTTCCCTCTGCCTGTGATAGGCGCCCCACACAGCCACCAGCCTGTCCCACCTCCCTCAGGCATCTGCTCCAGAGCCTGTTGCTTCCTTTTGGGGGCCTCCCAGCCCCTCATTCCTCTGAGTAATCCTTTTGGTTAATATTTTTTTTACTGGGGATTGAGCCCAGGGCCTACATACCGAGCTATATCCCCAGCTCTTCTTTGTTTTAATTTGTTTTTTATTCTGAGGCAGTCTCAGTAAGTCGTTAAGTTGCCTAGATTGAGCTCAAACTTGTGATCCTCCTGCCTCAGCCTCCCAGAGTGCGGGGGTGACAGGTGCTCACCACCACGCCCATCCTCTTTCTTATTTTTCTCCAAATATGACTTGGATTGGAGTCAGCGGGATGGAATCCCAGGGATGACGCCCTGTAGGCCCTACCTTGTCCAGTATTCAGGTGATGCTGTCTGGGACCTGCTATGGAAGCTGCCGGGGCGGTGGGGCAGGGTCTGTCTATGCAGAGCCTGACAAGAGGGAGAATGCGCATGCGCCTTTTTCCAAGTTATGCACTGTACCGCAGGGCAAGGTGGGAGACTGCAGGTTTAAACGTTGGGACCAGGCAGGGCAAGGTGGGAGACTGCAGGTTTAAACGTTGGGACCAGACGGGTGTGGGGGTGCACACCTGTCATCCCAGCACTCAGGAGGCTGAGGCAGGAGGATGACTGTGAGTTCAAGGGCAGCTTGGACTTCACAGCAAGACTCTGTCTCAAAACAAAACAAAAATAAATGCTGGGAGGAGGAGCCTCTGGGAGGTTATGAGGTAAACAAATGCGCTAACGTGGGTTCCTGTGGGTCTGGAGGCTCCCGGAGTGTGAGCGCACAGGTTTCCACCCGCCGGCCCGCAACCGCCCTTAATTGAAGGCTTTTCTTTCCATCTAGCCTGCTGATGGTTGGCTTTCCTCCTGCCGCTGCTGTGGACGTTCAGTTGGGCACATCTGTTTGTGGCTCTCTTGTCTCACATGGCTCCTGCTAGACAGCAGCTGTCGGAACTAAATTGAATTAGCCAGGTACCCGGGCACTCGTCCCAGGTACTCAGGAGGCTGAGGCAGGAGGATCCCAAGTCCAAGCCCAGCCTGGGGAACTTAGTGACTTAGAGAGACCTTGTCTCAAAATAAAAAATAAAGACTGCTGAGGATGGAGCTCAGGGGGAAGGCCCTGGAGCCTGGAGGTGCCTGAGACCCTACGGACCAGGGGGAGGACTCTGAGCACCCAGGGTAGAGCAGGTGAGCAGCAGCAGGGGCAGGGACAGTTTTAGTCCACAGCCCTGACGTCCTCCGCCTTCCCCAAAAGCCCCACTGTGCACCCAGGCAGGGACAAGAGTCAGGTCGGAGGCGGGGCTGGGGTGGGGGTGACAGAGGACACTGTGCATGAGAGAGGTGGCCTCAGCAAGGACATGGCGGGGCAGAGGCAGAGGCAGAGGGACAGGGACAGGGATGCTGGCTGTCCTGGGTGTCGGTGCCCTCGACCCCGGTGCAAGAAGAGAGGTTTCCAGAGTGACCTGGCACTGACTGAGGTTGGGCTCCCGGCACCTGGTGGGAAGAGGCTTGCCCTGGCTTCAGGCTCTGTGGTGACAAGGGGCCACCTCTGGGCCACTTAGGATGGCTGAAGGCCTTGTCTGGGTGTGGGCGGGGCCATCAGCCACCAGTCTCCTCCTCCTTTTTTTTTCCTTGCTTCACTGGAGATTGAACCCAGGGCCTTCGCACTGAGCTCCATCCCCAGGCCTTTTCATTTTTAAATTTTGAGACAGAGTCTTCCCTAACTGACTCCATTTCCTTTTTCTTGTGGTGCTGGGAATGGACCCAGGGCCTCCTGCATTCTAGGCTAGGGTGTCACCACTCAGAGGCACTGCTAGCTGGATATTTCTTCTGGTACTGAACTCCTCCCTGCCTGGACTTCTCAGAGGGCGGCTGAGGGGGTGATGCTTCCGTTGTCACCTGCATTTGGTTTTGGTGCTGATTTTCCCTGGATATCTCTGAGATGGCTTTGCCTCCCAGCGGAGCCTCATTTCCTCTGGACCCATGTCCCCTCCGGGGCTGGGCAGGTGGCTCTGAGCTTGTCACAGCGAGCTACTGGAGACCGAGTGTTGTGTCTGTTTTCCATCTCTGACTCCTAGTGACAGGGGTGGGGTCTTTTCATGGTCACCAGCACAGATGCTGGATCCCAGTGTACACTTTGCTCCTCGCTGCTGAGCCCCGTGGCACACGCCAGTCACCCCAGTACTAGGGAGGCTGAGGCAGGAGGATCCCTGTGAGTTTGAGGCCAGCCTGGGCTACATGGTGACACTGTCTCAAAAAACAGAAACAAGAGCTGGGGATGTAGCTCAGCAGTATAGTGCCTGCCTGGCAAGCGCAAAGCCCTGAGTTCGATTCCCAGTACAGAAAGAAAGAAAGAAAAAAAGAAAGAAAGGAAAGGAAGAAAGAAAGAAAACCAAAAACAGAACAGAGATTACAGATTGCACCACCGTGCCTGGCTGAAGAACACATTTTCCAAGGACTAGTGGGACTGGGAATCACAATCACTCATGGCTATAGGTTAAAATGTTACAGGAGTTTTATTGTTCTTTTGTTTATTTTAAAAATCTTTAAAAATGTTATAGGAATAGTTTGGTTTTTTTAAATTTTAATTTAATTTTTTTCTTGAAAGATAGGGTCTCAGTATGTATTCTGGGCTGGCCTTGAACTCACTACGTGGTCCAGGCTGGCCTCGAGCTCATTGAGATCCTCCTGCCTCAGCCTCCTGAGTGCTGGGATGACCATGTTTTTTGGCTGTTTTTTGCAGTGCTCAGGATGGAACCCAGGGCTTTGCCCCGCCTAGGCAAGCGCTCACCACTGAGCCGCACCTCCGGCCTGGCCTTGGGCAATTATCAATTCCACTCTGCTCTTTTATTTTTTATTTTATTGTATTTTTTCCACTCATTTTTTTTTTTTTTTTTTTTTTGGTAGTGGGGATCGAGCTCGGGACCTTGAGCTCGCGAGGCAGGCGGTGGAACCACTGAGCTAAATCCCCGGCTCCACTCCGATCTTTTAAATGAAGGGCTTGGCTACCCCCAGTGAGGCCCAGATGTAGAGGCTGTGGGTGTCCTCTTAGGGCCCATCCTGTCCCCTCTGGGAGGCGGGAAGGTGCGGGCATATTCGGGTTCAAATCGCTTCCCCCAGTTGGCTGCCAGCTGAACGTGCGGTCTCCCGCTCCCTCTGTCGGTGAAGCTGTGTATTGCAGCACCGCTGACTAAATCCCAGAAGATGAGGTCATCCATTTTAAATGCGCTGGTCTAGATTTTTTTTTTTTTGCTTGCCTGCTTTGTTTTGGGATAGGGTCTCCCTAAGTTGCCCAGGGTGGCCTTGAACTCCTGATCTTCTTGCCTCAGCCTCCCTCAGTGCTGGGAGGACAAGCGCGTGATAGACAGCACGCCCGGCCATTACACATGCATTTTCCAATCTGGTTAATTTTTCGTTCCTGCCCCCTGGAATCTAAGTGGAAAGAGAGAAAAGATCTTTGAGTTTAGTTTGCAGCCGTATGGGTATTTATTACAGAACATACACACCGTTTTTCTTTTCTTTTTCTTTTTTTTTGGTACCGGGGATCGAACTCGGGTTCTTGCTCTTGCACAGTAGGCAGCGAAACCACTGAGCTAAATCCCCGGCCCACACACCGTCTTTCTTAAAGACTCTGTACGTCGGTGGAAGGTTCTTCAAGTTGTCACCAGACAGTGTTTGTCTCTAGGGACTGGGTTGAAGGAAAGACAAGGGTGAAGGAAAGACCTAGGACAGGTTGAAGTGAAAGACTTCTACTTCCTCAATGTTTGCTGGTTTTACCAACAATAGTCCCAGACGTGAAAAATGTAAGCTAGGTCTCCCTCTAGTGGCCAAGTCCGGAATCGCCACGCGTTTATTAAGCCAAGCGAAGTGATGGATAAAATAGGATCTTTTCTTTTTCCTTCCTTTCCTTCTCTTCCTCCCTCCCTCCCTCCCTCCCTCCCT